GCGCGCTCTGGCCCCTGGCACCAAGTAGCCGGCCACCTGGGAGAATCTGAAGTTGCCCCTTTGCATCCAGTCCAACTATGGGCTTATTTATAGTGTTACCTTCTGCCAGCAGCCCTGCGGGAGCCCTCCCCACTTGCGGGTCACGCTGGCCTCTATGGGCGCGGATTTTGGGGGGCGCAGATTTCCCCCCGCACGCGCGCGCGTACCTCGCTCCAACCTGAATTGCAAACCGCACCTTTGGGGTAAGTCTAACCTTTCCGTGGAGGGAAGCAGGTCTCCTCTGAGTTCATGTAGTCGCGCTGCTTGAGAGCCGTTGCCTCCGGGTTAGTAGCTGATCTCTGGATGCGGATAACAGCTACCCAAGATGGCGCGGTCACGCCGCTGAGCTGGCGCCCAGGGGGAGGTTTCAGCCTCAATCTCTAACCATCCCCATTTTCTAGGAGCTCTCTGTCTTTCCTGGCTGCAGACTGTCTCTCAGCTGAATCTCCTCTGCTTGTTCGGGCTGTATGCTACCCGTTTCAGCTGCTCACCCCTATCTGGTCCGGGACAAAGCACCAACACGTCCGTCTAAGCCTCCGCCATTTTTCCACACCTAAACATTTTTCTTTTTGTTTTTGTTTCTAGTGCCTAGCCCAGGGTAGGCTCTTAGTAAATGAATGATTTTACATTTCTCACTTTAAAACTTTTCATATCAGATATGACATTGTTTTAGCATAAGATTTTTTAAAAAATTATTTATTTTAGAGAGAGGACGGGAGGAAGGGAGAGAGAAACATTGTTTGTTGTTCCATTTATTTATTCATTCATTGGTTGATTCTTGTGTGTGCCCTGAACCGGGGATTGAACCTACAACCTTGGTGAATTGGGACAACACTAACCAACTGAGCTACCTGGTCAGGGTAGCATAAGATATTATAAATCCTGATCCTGTTATTGAGTATATTAGTTACCCCCTGGGCACTGTATGATCTGTAAATTGGATGATTTTATTCAAATAGTTAAGGACTGAACCAAGGACAGAGCTTTGAAGCACTAAAGACTTCTTGTAGGTTGATATCAATTATGTAATTATAGCTATTTGTGTGTTTTATTTATTTATTTTTTATTTATTTGTGGTTTTATTTATTTATTTTTTACCAGCCATGGGTATACCTAAACATACTGTTTTCCCACTCAATATTTCACAATTGTCTATTGGGTTAAAATGAGAAGTTTTGTTAGCTACTCTGCAATGGAAGCATTGGCAGAGGGAGCTCTCTGCAAACCTCCCAGATCAGGGACCTAAAATAGCCCTGGCCTTAAGGAGCTCTAATACTTTACCTTTTAACACTGCTGGGCAGGTGCTGGTGGATGTGCCCTGTACCACAGACCGCCACTCCCTTCATGAGGAGGAGAACAACATTTTTCAGCGGTCGAGAAAGAAGGAGCGGCAGATGTTACCTATGCTGCAGGTGCAGCTTCTTGCGTGAGTGATAGATTTACATACACCCAGGACTTTGTGCCAGAATGCTCTGGGGGTCTGGTTACCTGGGGGACTGGAAGCTCTTGCCAAGACCATCACCCATAGAAGGGTCTTCTGTCTGAGGACCTGCCTGAAGGAGACAGACATCAAGAGGATATTACTTCTCTGGAACATAAAAACCCTATGTAGTAGGATATGCATAGTATGGTAGGCTACATAGATTCACTTACTGGTGTGTCCACTTATCTCCATGCTAGTCCCAGTATCAGTAAGTAGCTCAAGTTTGAAGCATAGTTAGTGAGGTCAAGATTCTGTAGGACTGGGGTAAAGACTCAATCCATAGCCAGCATCAGGGTTTGGTTCATAACTAGAGCCACAGCTCGGGGTCATTTCAAGAAGGCTTCGAGAGGAGAGCTCATGGAATAAGGTTGGGTTGCTCTCTGCCTTGAGAATGACTTTTCATTGTGGAAGAGACTTCAGAGGCTAACCCAGCTACCCATTCCACAGTAGACACCTCTATCCATGCTTCTAGCTCTTTCTGTCGTTGCCCTGCTTCTGGGAAGCTCACTAGTCACTGTTTTGTCTCTTTCTGGTTTCAGGGCTGGACTTCTTGCCACAAAACCAGGAGGCTACGTTGTCTATTCCACCTGCTCACTCTCACACTTACAGAACGAGTATGTGGTTCAAGGTGCCATCGAGCTCCTGGCCAATCAATATAACATCGAAGTTCGGGTGGAAGATCTGACTCACTTCAGAAAGCTTTTCATGGACACGTTCTCTTTTTTCCCATCCTGCCAGGTTGGGGAGCTGGTAATCCCGAACCTCATGGCCAATTTTGGGCCTATGTACTTTTGCAAAATGTGTAGACTGACATAGCATCACCCTGTTCCTGGAGCCCTGGTGTGTGAAGACAAAGGGTGTACTTCCAAGGAGGCACCGGAAACTGAGACCATTGGCAAAGATGCACTCTGGGTCCTATCTCCATCGTGTTCAAGTCTTTCTATAGTTTTTAGCAATAGGAAGTAGGAGTTTTTCTGTCCTGCTGTCCAATTGTGGAGCACCAGCAGGTTTCTAACTCACTTATTATACTCCACCTCCCACTTTCCATCTCTAAGCCTATACTAAACGTTCCTGCTCCATTGGGGGCTTAGGAGGAGGAGCCAGTGAGCAGGCCCACAGTTTATACTGTAAACTTGGGAAGAAGCATTTAGTCAATAAAATTGTTGAAGCTCCAAAGAGCTGAGGCTGTGATTGGGGGCCTCATATTAATCCAAGTACTGTTAGTTCTACTTGTACCAGCTGCTGCTCCTGAGCACTAGCTCCTAGGTGGCTCAATGTCTGGTTACAGAGCCCCTCTTACACTTGAGGTGAGGTCTGCATGATCAGTCTTGAGCAGTCGGCGGGCCAAAACAAGGCTCCCTAGTTTCTCCATATGGCCTATGATCTAATGTAAGAAACAAGTAACTAAAAATGTTAAGCCACTGCAATCTGCTTACTTAAATTGAGAAAGCTCTTCTGAGCTGAATAATTCCAGCTATTCCTCCTGCTCTCAACAGCACTGCTGCCCAATTGTGGCTGGGGAAGTGTCTTTGCCACAGGGTTGTGTTACTCTTTTGTGTGTCTCTTCTATTGTTCATTCCTCTAGCAAGTATTCCTTGAGTTCATGTATGACAGGTAGCCAGGGAGATGCTGGAGATGTAGTAACTGGGATTGTGGGGGATAATGAGGCCTCATCCTTGGGAATGGCAGTGCTCCTCCTTTGCCTTCTGAGCACCTAGGAATCTCCTAATGTCTTATTATGTTCTGTTTTTTTCCCCTTGTTCCTGGTCTGTGGCTGAGTTCTGCTGCCATTTGTTTGACCCACCCCAAATCACTCAAGAGCTCTTCCTCCAGCATCATAGGGACTCACCTCACACAGTGTGTTTACTATTTGCATGTCAATTATGTTATTACTAGATGCCTGGTGCACTAAATTCATGCACGGGGGGGGGCATTGTCCCTCAGCCTGGCCTGCCCCCCCACCCCCCCCCACAGTCCGGGACCCCTCACGGATGTCCTACTGACGGCTTAGGCCCCCTCCCTGTGGGAGGGGACTGGTCAATCAGGTATATAGGTACTTTCTGGAGGCAGCATGGACTCCTTCCTTATTTCTTTCCTCTGTGGTTGGAGAACAGGGGACTAAAAGGTGGAGACAGAACTGTGGCTGGGCCTGGGGCGTTTGTAGGGAGCGGAAAGAGGGAGAGGGCTGGGGAGAGTCTAGACACATTTCCTTTGATTGTCCTCCCTTCCTCAGGGCCCCTCCCTCCATTTTTTCCTTCTCATGATGGGTGCTTGGACCGACTGGAGCCCAGTGATGGTGGTGTTCAGTCCCCTCACTTCTCAGCTGAACGTACAGCCAAGTGGGGCTGTTTTCAAGTGACTAAAGTGCTGGGAATCCACAGCTCCCAGCCTCTCCCCTCTCGGTTTCCTTCTTGGGTTGGTTGCAAAGTTCACCAAGACACAGAAGCAGCTCTGCCCTGGTAGTTCTGCAATGCTCCCTGCCCAGGCCCCACCGGGCACTCTTCCTCGAGTCTCCAGGCCCACAGTCTGCACTTAGGGAGGTTGCCTGGAGCCCATTCCCCCTGGGCAGTGGGGCAAGGGGGCTAGCTTGGAGAGCTGGAGGAAGATGGCAGAGTAACAGTTTGTATGAACTGGCGCCTGTTCAGCCAGACCTCCTAAGCTCCCCACCAGGCCCAGGCCAGGCCCCTTCCCCGCGCCGGGAGGACCCCAGCTGAGGTACCCTCCCTGCACCCAGCACCCTCCTCCCTGTTCCACCACTGGGGGCGGGAGCAGCTCGCCTGTGACACACTGGTCCCTGCCAGCTAGGCAGGCAGGCGGCAGCACAGGCGGTGCGGTGGTGGACATGAGCCTCCTCTCCCTGCCTGGAGCACAGGGTGGGGTCCACGGCTAGGAGGCAGGCTCGGGGCTGGGGCGGGGCACACGGCGCTAGCAGGCTGGGCAGTCTGTGCATGCCCACTCCGGCTCCAGCCCGCTGGGCACCCACTGAGGAGCAGTGGCAGCAGCAGCGGTGCAGCACCCCTCAGCGAGGCCCTGTGCCCCTTGCAGCTGCCCCTGGGCACTGTGCATGGAGACACTGGTGAGCCACTGTCCAGCCCAGGACCTGCGGGAGCTGGGGTGGACTCAGGCTTGGCCGGCTGTCCCTGTCCCTGCCCATCAGTTGGGAGCAGCCTACACCTCTGAGGCAGCTTGATGTTAGCACTTGACTTCCGCCCCTGTCCCTGCCCACCAGCTTCTGCCTGGTCGTGACTCGGACACCATTAGGATCAAATTAGCATATTACCTCTTTATTATATAGGATTGTAACTTTAGCACAAATAAGGCAATACCTTAATGATAGGGATATTTAAAATTGCTTGTGGTCACATGTAGCTATTGCTTTTTTTATTTATTTTTTTCTGAAAAACTGGTCCTTGTGCAGAAAGGGTGCATATTTTTAGTTCTTCCCAATAATCCTTTCTCTTCCTCTTCTGTCACTCTATTTGCTCTTTATGCCTTTTCTGCTAGTCCTTATTTGGATAATAGAGGTACCAGCTGAGAAAGATTTTAGGTGAGGTTAAGCCTTCTCCTTTCTTGGGATTTGCATTATAACAGGTCCCTGGAAGACCTTCCACACTCAAAATCCTGGTGAATCTAGGAAGATGGATCTCTAGGGAGCAGGATCATAATTAGCTTCTTGTGTGGTATGTGCTCCTGCCTGTTCTTTACTCAGCTACCTGGCCTTCTGGCCTTGGCCTCCTGGGTGTGCAAGTTGTGCTAGTTGAAAGCAAAGCAGTGATAATCCAAGATGAGAGGGTTTTCTGCCCCTGGAGTCCAAGTCTAATTGGAGACAGAGATACCCAAGTAAGAAAAGCAGAGAAGTACTTTTTTTTAAAAAATATATTTTATTGATTTTTTTACAGAGAGGAAGGGAGAGAGAGAGAGAGTTAGAAACATCGATCAGCTGCCTCCTGCACACTCCCCACTGGGGATGTGCCTGCAACCAAGGTACATGCCCTTGACCGGAATTGAACCTGGGACCCTTCAGTCCGCAGGCCGACGCTCTATCCACTGAGCCAAACCGGTTTCGGCGAGAAGTACTTTTAAAAAGAGTTTATCTCCTGTAACTGAATAGTAACCTACTCTACAACCCAACCCAGTTATTCTAGTACTTGGGATAAATCCAAGAGAAATGCATAAATGTACACTGGGAGACATGTACAAGAACGTTTATAGCAGCCCTTATCTCAGAAATCCAAATGCCTATGAACAAGAGTGGACAAATAAACTGGAATATTCACACAATGGAATATTATACAGCTGTCAAAACAAATGAACTACAGTGAAATATAGTATGGATGAATCTTAGCAATAAAATATTTAAAAAATGTAGTCCCAAAAGATTAAATGTAGCATGATGCCCTTAAAAAAAAGTAACATGATGCCCTTATTTGTTATTTACATACAATATAATTTATTAACCAGTTAATTGCCACATGTCCAAAATGGAAACCATCCCCACACGCCACAATATTTTGAATTTAATTTAAAAAATCAATTTGCAATGAATATTATAAAAATAAACATTACAATTTGGGTGTTTTTGAATATTTTCAGTTGGACATTCTCACGAAAAATTATTTTAAAGTTAGTCTGTAGACGCTTATGGCAGGGAAATGGTTAATTTTAAATGTATTGCTTAATAGCATTTGGTAATTGTACATAATAGATCAAAATATAGAAAATAATTTCCATCATCACCATCAAAATATGGAAAATAATATCATCTCCTAAAAAGTTACCTTGCGCTCCTTTGCCCTGAATTACCTTTCCCCCATCCCTGGTCCCAGGGAATCATTGGTGTGCTTTCTGTCACTATAGTTTTGCCTATGTTACTGGACTGAAGGGGTCCTTTTGCCTGTTAGCATCAAAACCAAATAAGACATGAACAGGAGTTTGCAGCCAAGAAAGTAAGGATTATTGAGATGGTGTCATGCCCAGAGTCTTAAGTAGCTTATGCTCAAAGACCTGGCTCCCTGATGGCTTCTAGGGGATGGGTTATATAGGGAAAATCATTAGTCATGGTGACTAAGGGAGTTAGGGTCATGGTTAGGGTTGTGGTTTCTACTGATTGGTCAGCACTAGGGTGTCTGGTCCTTACCTCAGGGTTGCTTCATCTGTTTTCACAATGATGTGGTCAGTGAGATTGTCCTGGAGCTGAAACAACTGAGGCCTACATGTTCCTTCTAGTTTGAAACTTTCTCTGTGGTCAACAGACCTGAGGCTGCTGCTCCAATCACCCATCAGGAGCAGGGGGAGGTGGAGAAGCCCTGAGGGGCGGCAACCAGGGCTGGCAGCCACCGCTCGCACCTGCTGACGGCACTGAGCGGTCGGGGCTGGCACCCGGTACCGGCAGCAGGTGCGAGTGGGGCCGGTGCCAGCAGCAGGTGCGAGCATCGGGCAGGACCGCGGTACGCAGGAGCAAAGAATTTCAGTAACCACCAGAGGTTTGCCCTGATGGCCCCACTCACCTGCTCCACCATCCCGCTGTGGCTGACGCCTGCCATGTTCCACATCCACCCCCTGGTGGTCAGCGCACATCATAGCAACCAGTTGTTCAGTTGTTCCATTTTTGGCTTATTTGCATATTAGGGTTTTATATATATAGATTATTTTTTTAAATCCTCACCTGAGGATATGTTTTTATGGACTTTCAGAGAGAGAGAGAGGAGAGAGAAACATTGATGTGAGAGAGAAACATTAATTGGTTGCCTCCCACACCCACCCTGACTAGGGGATCGGACCCACCACCTTTTGGTGTATAGGACAATGCTCCAAACAACTCCACCACCTGGCCAGGGCTCATTGTGGTTTTAATTTATATTTCTCTGATGACTAGTGATGTTATCAAGTTAAATACAACTAAGAATGAAAAAAACTTTTTTTATGCAAAGATCTTTTCTCCCCTTTCTGCCCCCCCCACCATTTATTTCCAAGAGAGAGAGAAACATTGATGTGATCCGTTGCCTCCTATACATGCTACAACTAGGAATCGAACCTGAAATCTGGGCATGTGTCCTGACGGGAATCAAACCCATCACCTTTTGGTACAAGGTATGACACTCCAACCAACTGAGCCACACCAGCCAGGGCTGAAAAACAGTTTTAAAGAACATATTCAGTAAAACTATGTAAAAAGAAAAAGATTGATCT